TGCTGGAAAGATTCACATAGGATTTAAAGGGGACTTTCCCTATTTGAATGATCCCGTTATTTTTTATTCTTTATCCATTTATATTTCTAAGCTATCCTAAAGGACCAATATGATGGGTGCTTCTTGTGTTCAAAATATTAGGTTGATGTTTCTCCTTTTCAAATTATTCCTCTTTTAAATTTCTTATAATTAGCCCTTTGCAGCCTTACATTTCCCTACCTTGCTGTAATTCCTGAGGTAAAATTTTGAGAAGGGTGTTTTTTTAAATACATTTTTTCTCTCCTTCAGGTCTCTTTTCTTTAAATATTTATCATTTTCTTCAGAGTTTTCGTCCCTTACCCACCCTTTGGCCCCATACTCAAGGCCACCATCTCTACCTACCCTGGATCTGTGGTAACCTCTGAATAAAGTGGCTTATAATCACTGAGGGAAACCTTTTAGAAAAGAAGTACGAGGTCAAAAATTCAGAAGTGCTATTATTTTCAAGAAGAAAAAACTTTATGCTGTGCTTCTGAACCCTTCATATTGGCCATGTTCCTCAAGTGTGGAGACTTCCCCTCACACCCTTTAGACAGATGGCTCTTCCGATGTTCCATGTTCCAGTTGAGTCTTAGTTTATTATTATTTATTAAACTTATTGGCTGCCCATTTTACTGCAGGATAACTGGACGGCTTACAATCATAAAAAATTATCTCTCTCTTCTCTCCGGATAGCCCTTGACTTAACAACAATTCATTTAGTGACCATTCAAAAGTTTCAATGGCACTGAGAAAAGTGACTTGTCACCACTTTCCACACTTAACGACCGTTGCAGCATCCCCATAGTCATGAGATCAAAATTCAGATGCTTAGCAGCTGATTCATATTTATGACGGTTGCAGTGTCCCGGAGTCATGTGATCCCCTTTTGCGGCCTTCCAGCAAGCAAAGTTGATGGGGAAGCCAGATTCACTTAACAGCCATGCTCCTAACTTAACAACTGCAGTGATTCATTTAACAACTGTGGCAAGAGGTTGTAAAATGTGGCAAAACTCACTTAACACTTAGCAACCTAAACTTTGGAGTCAGTTGTGCTTGCAAGTTGAGGACTGCCTAGATATGTGTGTTTTATGTGTGTGTATGTATATATATGTCATGGTTCCGAAAGATGAAACTCTTCAAAGAACTTTGAGGCATTGTTTACCTTAAAGAATCTTCCGTAGGTACATAGCTAAGCCAAAATCTGACTTCCCCTCTCTTCAGCACATAGATCAAAGCACAATTCCCTCCTACAATTAATAGTCATAAATCAAATTCTCCAATTAGTTTGAAATGCTGGCTTCCCTCTCCCGCCATCCTTTTATCAGCTCTTGTTACAATATTGAATGTCTAACTAACTTTTTGTATATATACGAAGAGAGAGAATTTTTATGATTGTAAGCTGCGAGAGAGAGAAAGAACGAAAAACAAGTTATAAGTTTAAAACTGGTTCTTCAGAGAGATGTTTATGGAAATTCTCAAGCATCCAGGTCATG